CCCCAAAACCCCAAAACCCCAAAACCCCAAAACCCCATTTAGATGAGAAATAATTGAATTTAGTAAAATTTTATATTTTTGGTTGCTGTGAAGACTTTCTCCTATTTGTATAAGGATTGATTGATGACACTGGCCTAATTCTAGAAGATTGCTGAGATGATATCCTCCGACCAGATGGTTCTCTTTGAGCATTCTGTGAATTTTTCCTATTAAATTTTGATGGTGTTCGAGTTCTTGTCGTCGAGGTTCCTACAAAGTAAAATGAAAGTTAATATTACCTTTTCTTGAAGATTTCATAATTTTCAAAGAAATAGCATTAGTGTCATTACCAATCATCCATCCTTTATGACCACCAGTATGTGTAATCCTTGATGTTTTGCTCCTGTTCAGCTTGAGTGTTGATTTCAATCCCTTAAATTGATGGTTACTTTTAAGGTTTATAAATAGCTGGTTTCCGATGTAATTCGTCATATCCTTAACTTTAAACTTGTTTGGGTTATATTTCTTTGTACTATCTTCATTTCATAAATCATAAAACTTGTCCCTCTTCTTAATTGCCCTCTCTTTAGCCTTAAAAATCTTGGCCTTGGCATTAGCTGACTTATCTTCTGGGTGATTAAGCCCATATCTTCGAAACAGGAAGACTGGTACAGATACATTTTTATTTCATTGCTTTCTCTTCTAGCTTCTTCGTATATTCTTTCCCTTTCTTCTGGACTTTTTCAGGCTTGAGGTTTTCGCGTCTAAGACCTGTCATAATAGAGCTGACCAAAATTTGCTCATTTGGCTTTTTAACCTTTAGATATGAAGGATCTACTTTTTGTTGTTTAAGCTCTTCAACTTTATTTAAAAACTTCTTCCCATTTCTCTTACCCCAATTGGTGCATGGCTTTGAGTTCTGAGACTTATTTTCTGTTTTGTTCACATATTTAAGCTTCAAGGCTGCGCTTTGAGTCTTAGAGCTCTCTGTTTCACCGTCAGATTCATCAAGAGCGTTGAGCTCATCGCCTAAGAAATCTCTGATATTGTATTTAATCGATGTGCCTCTAAAGACAAGTCAAAAGGATGTCTTACTCAGCTTCGTTGCTTCTGATCATCTCTGAGATCTTGTACATGTCATCCTCAAATTTTTTGTTGTCGTATTCCTCATGAGGAATCTTAACTTGCATATTTTCTTGGAAGGTAGGAGAAACTTGGACTGAGATCCTCCTGAAGCTTCTTGAGCTCGAAGATCCTTTGCCTATAGAATTAAGATATGGTTATAGCAATAGAGGCTAGTAAAAAGAGATAAAAATCAGCCGATTCAATATTTATGCGGGCTAGCTTTTTTAGCCTGTGTTAGATTAGAGAAATGATCTCGAGTATTAATAGTAAAACATAGTAAAGTCTGAACATCAAAGCTTGTCTTTCACATTAAATTATCACCTTGATGTGAAATGAATGATTTAAGATTTCTGACCATCACCTATCAAAAATTCAAATTAACTAAAATCTAATGCTTCCTAATTATAATAGAGAGGGCTACATCTTCAGCTTATGTATTATTGTTACACAAATCATAAACCTCGTCTCACCAAGACATCAGTGTAAACTAGTCATAATCCTAAGCCGCATTTAAAGACATATTTTCCTTTAGAAGGTAAACTGGAGTTCTAAGAGCCATACATGCAAAAGTGAAATAAATTGTGTTTCCAAGTTTTACCACTTAAAAGTTAAATTTGAACTCCAAGCTATTACTAATAAGCTCTCTGATGCTCATTTGGAAGCATGAAAATGGGCGTACTTAAATTAGCAGATACCGATTATGCTTGGTATTTTACCAGAGAGTGTAAGCAGAGCCTAGAAACTGAAGATTTTCGATAAATGTCATAATCGATAAATGTCATAAAAGTAGGTTCTCAGGTGACGCAATTCCTTAGAACTAGCAGAATCGAGGATTTAAACAATCGAATGGACTCTTGTGTCTCTTGATTTAGTAGTGTTTAGGATGCCTCTTTAAAACTTACCATCTATAATTCTACCGAGTCTGTTTGCTGATTTATTTACTATTTCATCCTAAAATGTCTATTTTCTTCTTACTAAAATTTCTTCTCTGGACCACTTCTATTCTCTGTACTGCTAAATTCCAGCCTCTGTGCTTGCGGACAGGGGTGGAGACCCTGTCTCCACCAGCCAGGTTGGAATACCTGCGGATCTATACATAGAAGAGATCGAATGGAATTGGTTAAGGAATCGTCAAAGAAATAGTTTGGAAGAACAACTGAGAGAAACCAGGAAATTTACCTTTAACAAGGAGTTCTCTCGACGCTCAACTGGAGGAGGCAGTTTCGACTTATTTTAACTTCCCTGATCGGACGTTTGAAGCTGACTTCTTTAATTTCAAAGTTTCTGGGAGTTTCTTTATAGGACTTGTGTTGAGATTTTCGAGTTTTAGGAGTTGCCTGAAATTAGGTTAATGACTTACTTGTTATTTCTTAGTATAGCATTGGTGAGTGCCAGAAATTAGCTTATCTCTTAATGCACTTATTCCTTCCTCAAAGTTCATCTTAGTCAACTTTGGCTTCTAGATATTAGAGTTTATCTTATTCACGGAAGATTGAATAACCATCTCAAGGTTATGAAATATCAAAATAAAAGCCGTTACTGAAATATGAACTTGGTGGTTCAAATTAGATTTTCAAAATCAGCCCTGCTTAATGGTTGACTGAGAAAGTTTACTAATTCAGGAGTTTAGTAAATCTCTACTATAATTTTAAAAGCCTCTCATGAGCGTCTATCCTTCTCAAACCTCGTCAATGCTCCAATATAAACCTACCTTAAAGATTGCTTTCTCTTTCTTTTCCCTTAACCTACAAGCTTAACCCAATATCTCACCTAAAATTCTCCTTTTTCTTATCAATTCTCTTGTTTGTACTAGCTGGGGATTGGTCCCAGTCAGTTGGTCTAATAATCTCGAAGCTTTTCCACATCTATATATCCAAGAAAGTAATTTAAAGTGTAATATGAGATAATTTAATGTCCTAGAGTCCTTCTAATTAACCTAAAGGGCTGCTGTCTACCTCGAGCCAGCCAATTCAAATGAAATACCTCTAAATCTGAATTGATGGAACCTTAATAAATTTTATTAAAATTTATTAAGATTGGGGTTTTGGGGTTTTGGGGTTTTGGGGTTTTGGGG